ATATGCCAGCTGTCTTTGCCCCAGCTCACTGTCCCCTCCCCAGCACTGCCCTGTCCCAGCATCCTGGATTCACCAGCAGCCTCAGCTGCTCCTGATGCTGGCGAGCCAAGAGCAGCCCTGGGCACGTGAAGGGCTGTGACATTTGGGAACAGACACAGCCTGTGTCACCCAAACCTCTTCCAGCACCACACACTTCCCAGGCACAGCCCCATCTGCCTCATGTGTGCAGCACTTACATCCTCCAAAGCCTTACCAGAGTCAGAAAGCAGGGCTGGAAGGGAGCACAGCCATCACCAAACCCCTCTCCAAAGCAGAGCTGGCACAATTACAAGGTAAGTTTGGGGACACTTAAAAGCATCACTGGCTGCACATTGGTGAGTGCCTCCATTTGCAGCCTCTTTGATGCTGCAGAGGACATGGCAGCCCTGTGAGAACACACAGCACCCTCAAGCAAGACAGGAACTGCAGGAAAAATGCTGTCTATCTTAGCCTGAAACCACAAGAAATATAGAGATAGTCAAAAAGAATGAGCAATTTGATCAGGAAACATGAGTGAGCCATCCAGCTCCATGGAAAATACAAAGGGTCTGTCAGTAACCACACAGGGTCAGGATCTGGGGATTATGTCTTGTCTGAAAGATAAAACTTCTAATGATATCTTTAAAAGAAGTTTATGTTTGATGATGTTTGATTCTCAATAAAAAATAAAATCCCAGAGGATCACAATATTGAATAAGTGATGATTTCTGACACTGTTTTCCACATAATAATGGAAAACCTCATCTGGCTGAAGTTTCCAAGCTTTGTTTTACAAAAGTATTATTATTTGAGTTATCTGAATGTTTAACTTAGTGGGACAATTATGAATTGCTCTTGTCTGGACTGCAGGAAAAAAACAACCATACAGAAGTATTGCCCAGGGTTTGATGGGTTTGATCTTTCTCTGTTGTCCCTTCACAACAGCTGATACAAGGCTGTGCTGTGCTAATGAGAAGCCCCTGAGTCTGAAGGATGAGCTCTCACTCAGTTTTGGCTAAGCCAAGCCTTTTCTTCGTTGTGATAGTCCATTTGCTCCTCATGTAATCACTCAGCTCCTTTCTCTTGGCAATGTCAGACTTTTAGAGCAGAACCAGCCCCAAGCCCCATTTATCACTGCTTCTTTCTAGTAAAACCTACCTAAAAATGTCTGGGAATGGTGAAGGATCAAGTGTGCCCACCACCAGGCATCGTTCCTGTCTCTCCTTCAGCCGGTGCCCTGCTGGCCTCGCCACCGTGGCTGGGAGCTTGGTGGGGTCAGCTGGTCCCAGATGTAGCCAAAGCTCCTGATGCAGTTGCCTGACCATCAGAAACTGGACAGCAGCCCTGAATTCTTTTCTCACAAGTCACTTGGCCAGGCACCAGATGGTAAATTCTTTCAGTCCCTGCATCCCGGCTCTGGGGGGGAAGCAGTGACCTCAAGGTAAAAGACTGCCTGGCCCATCCCTTGTCCCTCGGGGTGTCTGGTCCTCTCAGCCTGGCTCTGCTGTCCAGTTAAGGTGTGAGAACCAGAGGGAATAAAAATGCCCAGACAGGGGTGGAAATAGCCATCACCACCTCTCTCGGCTTTTGCTGTTTGAAACTGGAGCCAGATTCATTCTGGGTAGGAAACAATTCTCCCATCCTGCCAAAAGCAGAGATATTTCAAAATTTCCCAAAGCCATGGTGTTTTCCAGAAGTCTCATGAAAAACATCCAGCAGCCACCCCAAAGTATCCAACAGCTGAAGGAGAGCTGAGGCATCTCCATTTCAGCTCAGGGCTCTTGGCTTTTCCAAGTTGGATGTATGTCCAGCTTTCTACCAGTGCTGTCCACCCTCCTTGGGCAGCCCTGCTCCTCTGCAGTGGGGATCTGAGCCAGGAGTGCCCAGGAGCAGTTCTCCCCACTAAGCCATGGAGCTGGGCTCACCCTAGACTCACATTTTCACAGGCAGGATCCAGGATAGCCTCACTGCTCCCTGCCAGAGGTGGGCATCCAGACCCTGCTCTGACTTCCCCCAGCTCTAGGGAAGGTGCTTAGCACATGATGTACAGTAAGGAAAGGGAGTCTCCAGCAAAGGGAAGGCATGAAGGGAGAATATGCTCAATATCCATCCCAGATGGATGCAATTTCAGCTGAGCAGGGTGTGCAAATGAGAGCTTTTCTGTGTTATTCATGATGGCACGTTAGAACAGCAAACACATTAAAAACTCAGCTCTCTAAAATGTAAATTCACTGGGGCAGTTCCTTCATTTCTATAGAAACAGAAAAGCTTGCCAGTGGCTAACTCAAAGGAGATGTATTCAGATCCCTGTATCAACTCTTTTCTTGTACAACTGACCACAAAAAAAACCGAAAAAAAATTGCAACCCCCCAAAAAACCTGACAATAATACCATGGAAACTGTGGAGAGAGACATATGGACTTAATTACTAGCTCTGAAATCACACGTATGGTACAGAACACTTAGAGGGTAGGTGCTCCAGAGGGGAAAGGCTATAACTGAGGATTTATAAAATGAACTGCTAACGTGCTGTTCTGCTGCAGCTTTGCACATCCAAACTGGTGCAGGGGCTGAATTCCTGTGCCAGGCTCTGCCTGCAGCCCCTGTAGCCACCTGGGCAGGCACGTGGGACCCAGAGAGGTGGGAGAAGGGAAGCTAAAGCCCATGGAAAATCCTCTTTGGGAAGGCAGATCCTGGGGGGCTTTGTGGGTACCACTCCAGCCAGCTCCACTGGGCATCCCCCAAAACCCATCAAGGCACTGGTGAGGATTGCCAATACCACAGGCAGTGTGGGCAGCTTGCCAGGCATGGGATGCTGGGTTTGGCCCCATCTGACTGCTTGACTTGGGGGTGTTGACTTGTCTCAGGCTTGACTTGGGCTCTCTGTCACTGCCTGAGCTCTGACAGCTTCCTGGTGGTGTCAAAACATCGCAGTGATGCCACCTCACTCCATCTGAATCTCAGTGACATCAGGTGTGGGGGGAAGCAAGGTCCCCTCTTGTTCAGAGCTGAGGAGAGAGTGAAGGAAGGAGCTGACCCTGTAGCCAGGACACATCAGGTGACAGGGGTTTAGCATCCACTTGGTTCCCCTGGGCAGCCCTGAGCCTCAGCCTCCCCCAGGGGTGCCCTGCTACCCCTGAGACCTCACACCAGGGCTGCTCCAAGGGTCATTCATTGTGGGAAATTAGAGGTTTTTATTTTTGTTACCAGTACTGACACCTGATTTCTAACTGGGAAATGAACTCATGGCCATTAATCAGGAGTCCCTAATAAACACAGGCCTGGAATAATTAATTGAACTGTCCCCCTGTGGCAAGGCTGGATCTGGCTCTCCCAAGCCACTCCCAGGATGTTTGGCTGAGCCAGTGGGAGGGCACCGGCTCCGGAGGAAGAAGTGGAACGTGAGAGGTGTCTCCAGCCTTAGGTATCAAATCCTCAGGCTTGTGAGCGGGTCCTGACCATCCCCTGCCAGTGAGTTCAGAGCAATGTGCCATCCTCATGCCTCTTCTGCCACAGGCAGGGCCTGGGAGATGCACGGAGCTGGAGCTCCAGCGTTGCAGAGAAGAGGCTCCGGCACTTGTGTAAGTGACAGCAGCCTTTGGAAAGTGTCTGTTGTTCCCACAAGCTGCCATGACCTCATTAGCAGCCTGACTGCAGCTACTGAAGCAAAGCCAAAGCGGAGATTTGGGGTGGTAATGATCAGTCTGCTGGGCTGTGCCCACCCTGCTCCATTCCCCAGCTTCCAGACAAGCATGGAGCCGAGGTCAGAGCTGCTGCTCAGGTGACTGAGAACCTGTTTCACAAAAGCAAAACAGAGGGGAAGGCCAGGGGGAGGGATGGGACATCACTCTCAGTTGCATGGTTTTGGTGTTCTGTTTATAGTGGCCAGCACCTCCTGTGTGATTGCCAACACACATCTGATATTAGCAGCAGCTCTCATCATGTCTGAACAATACAGAGAGTCTGTGCACAGCCACCAGGACCCATCCCTTGGGCCAGCACAGGAGCAGAAGTCCTGGTCCCAGAACACATCTTGCAGGCAAGGAGCAGGGGTTCAGGAGAGGAGCCAGGGAGAGCTGCAGGACATCCTGCATCTCAGGCCTCTCCCTTGAGCTCTGGGCTCACAAATTGTCCTGTCTCGTATCTTGAGATAAGATCTGGGGAATGGGAATATGGAGAAGTGGCTCTGTCTAGTGTAGGTCTTGAGATGCTGAGGTTTGTCTTTCCTAAGAGCCAGCCTCATACCCTCACTCACAGGGGACAAGGGAAAAGCTTGCACAGGGCAGACTGAAAAAGTGTTGGGAGGCAATGGTTGAGCACCTGCTTTTCTTCCCCAAACTTGGATTTCTAATTCTCACAATTGATTAGGATGATCATAATACTTCAGAGGCTGAATTTGCATTTACAAGGCTTGAAATCAGCAGGGTCAGACTGCAGCCTTCTCTGCATTAGGTACCCAGGACAATGCAACATGATGTGCACCCAGCCACCCCACCCCAGCAGCCTCCACAGGTGGTCACAGTCCCTCTCAGGTTGGGGATGATGTGGCAGCAGCAGCACCACCACAGCAAATCCATTTCCAGCTCCCTTGGGAGACTCACCCCTCTTCCACAGCCTGCCATGCCCCGGGTGCAGCACCAAATATAGGGGTGGATGCCTGGTCACAGCACTGTCCCACAGCAGCAGCAGCAGGGACAGTCCTGCCAATCCCTTCACATCCCAGGAGGAAGATGCCAGCTCTGCCTGGGCAGACCTTGATCAGTGGGATGGGGCATGAAGCTTCCCTAGCAGGCAGGAGAAGGGAGCTGGATCACCCCACAGCCAGGTTCCCCAGCCTCTCTCCCCAGGGACAGCACTGCATGCCCTCCCCTCGCTCCTTGTCTCGGTGGACAGCACATTCTCACCTTGAGAAGAGTGGAAATGGCAGCTGGAATGCGGGCTGGAAAAAGAAAAATAAAGGAAAAAAAAGAAAATCTTGAGGCTTGTCCAAACCTACTCATGTTTATATTGGAGCCTGTGAGTGACATCAGAGCAGGGAGAGTATAAACACCAGCAGGACCTTCTCTGGGCTTTAAAACCTGCGAACAGCCACTGCCTCCAAACTGCCTGGGGGGTGATGTGCTGAAGAGGCACAGGGGAGAGCACCATGAGGCTCCAGCTGGAGAAGCAGCTCCTCTTCCTCTCCCTCCTCTGCATTCTCTCCAAGGTAAGGGAGATGGGGCCCTGGGGCAGCTTTAGCCGTGGAGCAGCCGGTTCTGGCAGAGTGGGGTGCAGGAGGGACTGGGGTGTCCCCAGGAGCCCGCTGGCTCTCGCCGGCCGGCAGCCAGGCTGTGTTGGTGCAGGGGGCAGAGCTGTGCTCGGGAGAGGAGTTTGTGAGGAAGCAGCAGGGTCTGGGCACTCCTGGGCCCAAGGCTCAGCCGCTGGAGCACACAGGAATGCCAGCAATGCATCGCCCGCCGTCCCTGCAGCTCCCCGGGCTGGGCTGCGCTCGGTCCCCGCCAGCCAGCGAGGGCAGGAGCGGCTCCTCCAGGCTCCTCCAGGCTCCTCCAGGCTCCTCCAGGCTCCTCCAGGCTCCTCCATCCCCGCCCAGGCTCCCGAGGCAGGGGCCAAGCCACGAGCACCAGCCCTGGCTTTACTCAGCTCTCCCCAAGCCAGTACCTCCGATGGGATTTGGGTTGTAGGGATTTTTTTATTATTATTTTTTATTCTCTTGGACTCTGTGTGAAAATATTTGCCTGTGCAGAGATCAGGAATGTTGAAAAATTTGGGGCATCTCAGCTCCAAGTTCTAATTGCTGCTTGAATCCCCAAGCAGGGATGTCGTGGCAACATCGTGCTTATTTGACTCTTTTCCCAGAAAGTTCAGATCTCTGACAGGAGCCACATTGTCACCTAAAGACAAGTAAATTACAAGGAGCAAGGGGAAATGGATTTATGGCTTGGCTAATCTAAGACATCAATATGTAATAATAACCTCCTGAAAGATGAAAAACGCCCTTGGCTGCCTGTGTAAGCTTTAACAGAGCAATGATTCTCGCCCCAGGTGCTCAGGAGTGCCTGGAGAATCACCAAGGACCATTGTGCTGCCAGCCCAAACCTGGCCACCACAGCCAGCCCCTGACACATTAATAATGCTGCTCTCTGACAGAACTAGAACAAAACCCAGATTACCCAATCCATTATGGATATATTTTAACTCCAATTATTGGCACTGACGCTTCTACAGCCCCATGAAAAGCATCAGAACTGCTGCAAATGGGGAACAGAGAGCACCAGTGGCTTCCCTCTCTGTCTGACTCATCATGTCAGACCAGATGCCACTGGGAGAAACTGAGAGAAAAAGAGAAATGGTATCTAAAACCTGCATGTTCTGGCTGAACCCATGGCTCTGCTGGCAGGCCCAGACACAGCACCTGGACCAGGGCAGGGATGAATGTTTTGGTTCCTCGTTTGCTGTGCTGCACAGGCTGGCCCTGCACCCAGCAGCACGTGCATGGTGCTGAGCAGCAGGGCTGCCAGGGGCTCACACACTGCCAGCCCAGTACTGGCAAAGGATTCACTTCCAAACTGCAGAGCCAGCTCCCATGGCTTCAGGCTCTCTATGCAATAGCTCTGTCACATGTGACATGATGGGAGCTCAAGAGCTGCCCAAAAAAGCTGTTGGTGCCAGGATGGTTGTGCAAGCAGGATGAGCCAAGGGTATAAACATCCACCTGCCCAGGTGAGCTCCCATGGGCACCTCCCTGGCACACAAGGGGCTGAGCAGGCAAAGGACTGCAATGCACGTGCCAGTGACTGCTCAGTCTAGCCAGGAGGGAAAACAGCTCCCTGTCCTTGAAAACGTGCCTATCTCTGGGCTCCTTGCCCAGTGGGCCAGGCCAGGTGAGGATGCTGCAGCCAGGGACAAACAGAGGAGGCAGCTGGACCAGTGAGGAGTGCAGTGAGGTCTGCCTGGCTTCAGACCCCCACTGCTGATGCAATGTCCTGTTTCTTGGCATGAATGAGAGCTCTGAAGACTGTTAGGGGTGAGGTGCTGTGCACTCACCACATGAATTCAGTCCCTGCCAAGCCACCTGTCCAGCTGGGCACAGCCTGCTGCCTTGGGGGCAGGAATGGGGGTGGGCTGCTTTCCCTCCCTCTCTTCCTCTCTCCCACTGGGCTGCTTGGGGCTGCTGAGCTCATTAAATAACCACCACTGCCTGGGACGTTCACCTTGTAACTCCATCCTCCTCCTGTGTGTTCAGAGCAGTGGCACATTAAAATCCCCATCTTGCAGAGTGCTGAGCCTCTGAGCATCCTTGATTCCCCATGGTTTTCCATAGGTGCCCTTCCAAGGGGACAGCAGGTTTCCAGGATGCTTTGAGATATTCCCATGGATTTACAGAACCTCCCTCCACCAAAAACTGCCCCCATGACTGAGACAAGGTTACCTGGCTGTCCCAGTGACAAAGCAGCTGTTAGCCAAAAACCACCTGTATGGATTCAGCTTTGCTTCCACAGGTTTGTGCCCAGCTGTGCCGGAGACCCTGCTACTGCCCCTGGGTGCCACCGCGCTGCCCCCGCGGCTCCCCCCTGGTCCTGGATGGCTGTGGCTGCTGCAAGATCTGTGCCCGGCGCCTGGGAGAGCCCTGCGACTTCCTGCACATCTGTGACCAGAGCCAGGGCCTCGTCTGTGACTACAGCTCAGCACCTGCAGGGACAGGAGGCACCTGCAACTGTGAGCACAGGGATGCCCATTTTCCCCGGGGATACCCCACACTGCAGCCCAGCACACAGCCCAGCCCCAGTCATGATCTCACATGGCTTCAGGCATCTCGCAGCGCCACCAGGGAGGTGCTTAAGGCTAGGAAAGCAGCTTTCCTGAAGATGCTGCATGCAGCTTGGCTGTAGGGCTGTGCCCCATCTCCTGCCACCTCTTGTGCTGCTTTCTGACTGAGAATTCAGGGTGGTTTCAGCGAGAATGGACAGGGAGGTCCCAGGGATGCTGCATTCACCCAGCCAAAGGAGCCTGGGAGTCCTGCAGAGAAATCTCGGAGAAACTTTTCCTAGCCTGGAAAGCCTGAAGGCAGGGTCAGAGCCGAAGGGCAGAGGGATTCTCACAGCTTGTGAGCTGCTGCTTTGAAAGAACAGAGAGATGAGGAGCGAAGGCAGGGAAGGGGAGGAGGTTGGGTGGCGAACATGCTGCTGCACACCCACGTCTGCCCTGCCCACGGCTCAGTCACTTCTGTGCCCCACTCCAGTGCCTCTGCTCAGCCCCACAGCTACCCCCAGCACTGCCATCCCCATCTCTGTCACCCCGTCCCTGAAGGGCTCGCCGCCTCTCACTTGCAGTTGAGGACGATGAGGAGGGCTGCGAGGTGAACGGCCGGCTCTATCGAGACGGGGAGGTTTTCCAGCCCAGCTGCAAAATCCAGTGCCGCTGCTCGGACGGGGGCTTCAACTGCATCCCGCTGTGCCAGGAGGATGTCCGGCTGCCCACCCCGGACTGCCCCTACCCCCGGCGGGTGGAGATCCCAGGGAAGTGCTGCCCGGAGTGGATCTGTGAAGCCCAGGACCAGCAGCTCCTCCGGGATGCCAGGGCAGGTAAGATGCAGGGCAGCTCCAGGGAGGCGATGCCCACGCGAGTCTCTGGGGATGGCCCCTTCAGGCCGGGCAGTGAAACATCAGCAGGAGACACCTCACACGTTTCTGTGGCACAGCACCTGCCTCCAAACACCCTTTCCCCCCTCATCTCCTTTCTTGCAGCCGCCGGGGCCCCGCTGCTGCGCTACCCGTGCCAGGAGTGGAGCACGGAGTGGAGCCCCTGCTCGGCCACCTGCGGGCTGGGCTTGGCCACCCGCGTGTCCAACCAGAACCACCACTGTCGCCTGGAGACCCAGAGGCGGCTCTGCTCGCTCAGAGCCTGCCCGGCCCCGCCGGCAGCGTTCCCAGCGGTGAGTGAGGGCTGGGAGCGGCTCCTTCCTCCGGGCATCACCTTTGGCTGACAAAGGGAAGTGCCGGCCAACAGGAGCCACGGGATCCCCGCTTACCTGTGGGCCCCCATCAGCGCTCCTCAGCCATGAGCTGACCGTGTCTCAGGGACCCATGAGCCATCTCCTGAAACCCTGCACGGAAAACAGCCGATGGCAGGTGCAGACCAGAATTTGGGGGGCTCTGGATGTCTGAACCCAGGAGCACTGTGGATCCCACACAGGTGAGCTCGGCCTGTCCCTATGGCCAGAGACGGATTTGCAGCTCCTGCCTGGCTCCCTGAGCACACCCGGGAGGTGGTTCTGACAGCCCTTTATTAGCCTGGCACAACCCCAGTGTGGACACGGGGCCAATCTGGCACACAGGTGGCACTTTCTGCCCGCTCCTGTCCCCTTGCACCACCTCTGCCATGTGCCCCTGCTCCGCAGCTGTGGGGGACACACCACCACCCCTCTCCATCTCCCCGCTGAGCTCCATTCTGCCTTTCCAGAGGGGAAGAGGAGGTCGTTTGTAGCTGCGCCCACCCCGGATTCACGCTGGAGCCAACGCCTCATCCCGGCAAAGAGTCTGGCATAAACTCGTGGCACTGTGGTTACGGTGAAGATGGAGGATGTTTCCATTGGGAAAACAGAGAAGAAATGATGGACTTTGGCTGCAAAGGAGGCTGGAAACAGAGAACAAGATCCCCGTGTCACCCATCACCTGCCTCCTCTGTACACCCCGCTGCCCCAGGCAGGGTTACTGGGCAGCATTCCGAGTTCCTTAGGCTGAATGAAATGGGAGATGGGGAAATCCCACTCCAAGCATAAACCCACCCATGAAACCAGGAACTGGTCCTTTCCTGGACCAGCGGAGCTTCTGAAGAGGTGATGCTGCTTCTCCACCACATCGCACAGCTCTGCTTTGCAGGGACTGAGAGAGACCATCTCCAGCACCTGGAAGCCAAAATCCCTGGAGGGAACCCTCCTGGCCTGGCCCCCCAGGGAGGGAGCAGGGCATCAGGCTGCACCCCACAAGTCACTGCCATGCCAGGCTGAGCTGCTCGACCACGCAGGAGCTCAGCCAGCCCACGGTACCCACCCTGCAAGCCAGCAGCCGCTTCCCGGGCATGGGCAGGGTCCTCCCGATGGCAGCTCTAATTCACCTTCCCCTCATCCCTCCAGAATAAACACGAGCCTTCCCGCTCTGCCTGGCCTCCTCCTCTCCAAAGCGCTGGTGGTTTGGCAGGGCTTCGGCAAGCGAGGAGCTCAGACACCGGAGACTCCAGACATACCGCCTGCCATCCAAGCACATTCCCCGCCAGCCGGGGCCAAGGGAAAAGCAGGAAAAAGGGAAAACAAATCGCAAAGATGAGTCAGGGCCGTCTCCTGACGGGCTGGAGCTGCTCCAGCCATGCGGGAGTCGGTGCAGGAGAGCTTTTTTTTTTTCTCCCAGTAAAAAGTGCTTCTGGGTGATGGAAAAATGAAACCCAAATGCCCTCTAATGGCCTCGCACAAATGTGCAGAGGGAACGCGTGTTCCACAGCAGGAAGGAACAGCGGTTTGGGTGATGTGTCCAGGTGAGAAACGGACTTTTTAGATGTGTATTTCTGGAACTAAAAATAAAGATGTGCTCATCCAGGTGTGGAGCTTGTCTGTGCAGGGTGAGCCCAGCCCTGCTGCTCAGGGCCGGCTCGGTGGGTGCAGGAAAGTCCTGGCACAGGGTGGGGCTGCTTAGAGTAAGAGAAGGAAAAAAAAAAAGTTAATCAAGGCACTGAACACATTTTTACAGTTTATTATATCCTGGGTTGAACCCTTCACTCTTACCCAGCCATAAGTTCTGCTGATGGCACCAGCCCTGGCCATAGCAGTGCTCAGGTCTCCAGGGTTGGGATGTGCAGGGCAGGGCACGGCACAGCACAGCCTCTCCTCAGCCTCCCAAAAATCAGCTCCCAAACTCCCCTGTAGCTCATCCCTCCTACTACCAGGCCCACACTTCCTCCAGTTCCCCTGGACTGGGATTTCCCCAGCACGATGCAGCCACCATCACCAGCTGCCTGTGCTCCTGACCAGGGCAGATCTGGGGGCAGAGGAGCAGAAGGCTGAATGGCAGTGAGAGCTCCTCTCTCCAGCCCAAGAAAAAGCCCCCTCAGCAGCAGAAAAGGCAGCAGGGCCAAGGCAGCTCACCCACTCCCTCAGGCCCAGCAAGAACTGAAAACAAAATCAAAGTCAAGGATGAGGTTCAGTCACCTCTTGGGGGTAAAAAAAAAAGAAAATATAGGAAGAAAAAAACCCCTCACTGCTCTTGCAGTAAAACATTGCCTACAAAGAGAATTATTTACTGCAATCATCTTGTGCTCAGCCTGAACACAAATCATTAATTCTGTTTGATACGGGCATGTGGTGGACCTCCAGCAGGCAGCAAATGGCAGAACACACAGCTTTGGTCGACTTTTTTTAGTTCTCTGGTGGCCACCCCAAACAAGTGGTGACCTAAAGCTCATGTAGACTTCAAAACTACCACATTCCTCAACTGACATGGATAAAACATTGTGGGTACTGCAAATCCTGGTTTTAAGGCAGTTCTTGTTCAAGCATGTTGGGACTCGGCCACCAAGGCTGGGTGAGCTGCCAGGGCTGTCACACACTCCCAGATCCTGCCTAGCCACCTCTGGGTGATGGTAAAAAATCAGAAGGTCACTTTTTTAGGCAGCAACCTGCAATTCTCGTCTCAAACAAATGACTCAACACACCTCTGCTATAATTATCTTTTTTTTTTTTTTTCCCCTGCAGAATGTCTCCCTGATTCACTAAGCATCTAAATAATGAATTAATGATTCCAACTAAATCAGAGTTATTTTTCCCTATGAATGCAGGGAAATCAACTCTTGCAATTTGATTGCCAGTCTCACAATATTTCCCTCTAAAGCCCTGCTACCCTGGAAACGTGGTTATTTGAGGCTCTGACGCAGGGTCCTGGCTTTGCCTGCTCGTGTGGGGCAACAGAGAAATATTCTACCCCATCCACAGGTAATGTGTAAAGATAGAAATCTTTATCTTTATCTTTTAAAAATCACAAAAGAAAATTCTCTCCTGTCCTCAAGGCACAAGGCCACATCTGCACACAGCCTGGGATCTGCCAGCCACACTCCTGAGCCAGTGATGAGCCTCAGATCACAGCTCATTTCTGTGCAAGCACACACAGCAGCTGAAGGAAAACTGAACCTACTGGATGAGTAAACAACATGCATCAGAATTTCTTTTCTAAGTCATCCTCATGACTGATGGTTTTTAAATGCACAGGGTTGGGTGAGAGAGGGCTGGATGAGCCCCTTATTAAAGCAAAACATTTTCAGATACTGAGCACAGGAATGCAGTACTCAATTGAAAAAAAAAACAAAAACCATAAAAAATCAAGAAGATCAAATGAGTTCTGTATTTTTCTTGGAAAAACATGTCTCAGGTTATGTGCTTGCAGGAGCTGTCTTGGCCCTGTGTTCTCATCCTGACATCAGCACTGCCAGAGCCAGGAGCCAGGGGGGAGGGTCCTGATGCAGGATGTTTGGGATGTATTGAGAGTGAAACCATGGCCTAAGTGCACCTAAACCACACAGGAGGCAGGCACAAGAGAAAAGCTCCGTGGCTGCACCTCTAAGGGGTCCAGGGCACAGGAGATGTGGAGAGCATGGGGTTCCAGCCATTCCTGGCAGCGCTCCCCATGTCCTGCCCTGCCCCTCTCCTCCCATGGCAGGAGGCACCAGCTCCAAGCTGGGACAGAGAAAGCTTTGCCTTCCTTGCTGAGAGCAGCTCATGGCCCTTCCCATGACCACAGAAGTTCTCCCAGCCAGCTGCTGTCTCTGCCTCAGTTTCCCCAAAGGCTGATGGCTCAAAGGGAACTGCTCCCAGTCTGTTCCTCTCCTCTCGCTGCCCTTCCACACCTCCATAAAGTTGCTCTGCAGGTGCCACCCCAAGCCCAGGCTGCAGAGCAGCTGATGCACACAGAGGTGAAGGGGGCAGGAGCAGGGCAGGATGGAGTCACTTCCCTGAGGGCTGCACCCCATGAACCCCCCTGCCGCCGTCACCCCGGGAGCACAGACCCACCACAGCCTCTGCAAACCGCAGAACAGCCATATCTCCACCACATGGAAACAGCTTCTACGCTTCAGCTTTTCGGCGGCACACCCATACTGGTGAGATTTTATTACACAGGCAGGAAATAACACACGATGTTTCCCACCGCTTATCTGATCCAGCAAGCAGTGTCTGAAGTCAAGAAACACATTGCTGCTCTCAACACGCAGCTAACCATCACCCCATCTGCATCTTGGGCGTCCCCACCGTGTCCCCGAGCTGCCGTGCCCGAGCGTGGTCCAGCAGAGATGTTCAGCAGCTCCCAGGGAGGGATGGATGCTCAGCCGGGATGGCTGGGCAGGCTCACCCTCCCTCCTCCTCCTCCTCATCCTCCTCCCCACTGGCTGCTGAGATCCCAGCTTCCTCCCACTGCCTGCCCGGATTCAATTCCCGGAAAACAGGCTGCCGTGGCCCTTCCAGAGCCTAGCCTTTCACCTCAAGTCCTTTCCCCAAGGTCGTTTTCCTGTGGCTTATCAGGGTAAACCCTCTCCCCTCTGACTGTTCCCTGTTAGCTCCGTACCTGCAGACCCAAGTGATTTCTGGCCCCGTTTATGCTGCAGCAGCTGCTCGGCAATGAATGGGGGCTGCCCTTCCTCGGGGTCTGCTCTGGGGTCTCTGCTTTTAGCCCCAGTTTCACAGTATCTGGGTGTCTCCTGCCTCTCGGTGCCTGTGACAGGACAGGCGGGGCACAGCCCATCTCCCCTGCTCCCTGCACGGCTCGGGACCGCTCGAAGGAGGAGCGGGGACAGGGTTTTTGCGCCTGGGGAGGGAGACAGAAGGAGCAGCAGCAGGGAGGGGACAGCTCTTGAGCAGGGCTCGCCCTGCCTGGGCTGGGGACAGCCAGCCCGGTACATCCCTGCCTGCTGCACTGCCTGTGGCACCGGGGATGGCAGCATGAGCCCCAGGGAGCACTGCCGGGCTCCTCCTTACCTCTGCTCCCGGGATTTCTGAGCGTCGGAGCCAGGAAAAATGCTGTGGGAACGGCAGTGAGGGCGGCTCATGGGCTGCGGGCATCCAGCCCCGCTCAGGGAAACTGCGGGGTTCCTCCTGACCGCCAGCGGCACAGAACACAAACAGGCTGAAAGCTTTGGCTCCCCTCCTCAGGCATCCCTCTGCCTCCCCCCTGCCTCCTGCTCCCTCCAGCACCCAAAATAGCCGAGGGGCTGCGTGTCCCTGGCGCCGGGCTCCGAGCGCCTCGAGCGGGCTGGGGGAGGCGCCGAGGGAGCGGCGGAAGCTCCGCTGGGGCTGCCCTCGGTTCATCCTCCGTGCCCCGGGG